AAATTGTCAAAATGTTGGATAGTTTACTTCAGATTTCCCAAAGAATCGACGATAGTCTTTTCCATTGGTGAAGCCAAAAAGAAATTTTTTTATATAGGTCTATATTCTACTTATATAATAAAACGTGAGAAATTTTAAATATACATAATAATTTTAAATAATTTTTGTTAAAAATAGAATATTTGGTTTGATGCAATTTTATTACATAATTTTAATAAATATTCTAGGCCTTACTATTTTATTTTTAGAAAAGAAATATAATGAGTAATGATCGTCTTTGCTTGGAAAAATAAATTACAGTTTTTGATAAAAAAAAATATAGATATATAATTTTATAAGTGTTTACTTCTTATAAATTAAATTCTATGGATTAACTATATAACAAAAAATCATGAAAACACAAATATAAAATAAATCAATAGATAAATAATTAAAATGAAAATATTTTGCATAAACAAAGCAAAAGAAAAAAAAAAGAAAAATATCAAATGTACTGCAGACAAAAATGTTCGAGGTTTAGTTAAGTGGGTCAAACTTACTTATTTTAAGCACATTTTTTATTCATTGCCAGCTATATACACTAAATAGATCTATAAATTGTTATTCTATAAATTAATAAACACGTTAAATTAATAAATTTATTTGGTCTTAAATTCGGTTGATTCAAAATATAACACAAATCAATAAAATAATAAGATATTAATTTTTTTTACGAAAAATGCTATGTAACTATATAGTTTGACTAAAATCATATATTAGTGATATATATTGACAATATTTAATAAATCTATGAAACATATTTCGTATAAACCTAATAATTTAACATAAGAAAATATAAAAGTTAAATTTCTAAAATTTAATTAAAATATATACGAAAATCAACTACTTTTATTGTACAATAAGTAAATAAAATTAGATAAATCTTAAATGAAATTTTGTATATATTAATAATTTTATAAATTAATAAAATATCCGTGTTCCAATCTTATTCTTTTATAGAGTTTTTACTGTAATTATATATGAAAAATATGGTAAAGTTCACACTGGATGATAAATCTCTCTAATTGGTGACTAGGTCTGCCACCGGGTTTTCAACACTTGTTGGTATTTATTTGCGTATTTCCAACAGTTTTTTATTTCCTTAAGTTTTTAGAGGGTTAAAATATATTTTTAAATTTGAGGGTATATTATTCACTCTCTCTAAATACTATTTATTTATTTTTTTCATTTTAGTCCTACCGTTATATGTCTTACAAGTACATGAATAAATTTTTATATATCATATTTTAATACTTATCAATTTAAAATATTTTATTACCATTTTTATACTAATTATAGTTATATTTGACTACATATTATTGTATTTTCTCAAAATAATATTTTTATACTTTTAAATAGGATATTTATTGGTTTATTAAAAGTTTAGTGATTAAAGTTAATTCTAAAACTAGATTTTTACCCGCGCTTGAAAAGCGCGAAAATTTTTTATGATTAAAAATTTATATAATTGAGTTTTGTCTTAATTTAAAGAATGTTTTGGTATAAAATTAGTTTACCAAAATTTGTGGTGATAGTTGTCTTTCATTAGTTTTTAGTTTCAGTTTTTATTTTTAGATTTTGTTTTAAATTTTGGTTTTTGGTTTTTGGTTTTTAGTTTTTAAGTTTCTATTTTTGATTTTCAGCTTTTGGTTTGGATTTTTAATTTTTAGACCCGCTGAGTTAGTTTGAACTGATATTACCAACAAACAAATCTCAATTAATCGAACATGTAATTTAAAACTGAAAAGATGACAAAATAATTTTCTAAAAGTTTTGAAATAGTTTATTTTGTAAATAAAAAAAAACACAAAATATAACATGCGTTTCAGCTTTTGGTTTTGCATTTTAGTTTTTAGATTTGGTTTTTGGTTTTGCTTTATATTTTTTTTTAAATCTGTAACTTATTTAAGAAAAATAAAACAATAAATTATTTAAAAGTTACCATTAAAATTTATCAAGATAGAGTGATTATTATTTAAAATAAAAATACTAACATGTTTTAAAGTACATGATTTAAATAAGTGATTAAGAATATATAATTTTGTTTTCTTGAAAATATTAAATATTTTTGGGCTAAAAAATATTAACATGTTTTAAAGTACATGATTTAAATAAGTGATTAATAATAGATAATTTTGTTTTGTTGAAAATATTTAATATTTTTGGGCCTGAAAATAGTAATTGATTTTTGATCCATTAAGGTGGAAAGTTTATTTAATAATTTTTGGAGTTTTTCTTTAATACAAGCCCAGAAACCAAACAATTAAATGTCATAAAAACAAAAGTAAGACCAAAACTCTATTCCATAAATAACCGCCGGTTTAATTTAAGTAATGTGGTTCAATCAACTATATAACTTGTATTATTTGCAACACTCTAGAAATAGTCCAAATTTAAATGACAACTTGTATCAGTAGATAAAAAGAATGACTCTGTTTTAATATAATAGATATTTATTGAAAACTAACATGTAAATAAATAATTTTCCTTAAAATAAACTTAAGGATGACTTTGGACTAACACACCTTCATTCTTTTATTTTGAGGGTGTTACCCATTCAAACTGAGGAGGCTTGTCGGAGATTCTCTTACAAGAGTCCATGAATATGAATAATTGAGGTTCTTTTCTAGGTTGAAGAGTGTATATGGGACATCATGTTCTGAAGGAAATCATTTCTAGTTTTGTATTTAAATTTGTGAGAAGGAAGCAAGACAAGAGTATTGAATAAAAAGAAAAAAAATTCATGTCAAGAATTAGAAACTCTTAGCAGAAAAATAACAATTAAAAACTCTCTTTTGTGCAGGGTAATATGAAAAGGAACAAAGCAGGACAGCCATTGCAAGGGATTAGACATTGAGCCACATAGCAAAAGAGAGTTTGGTATGTAACAGTTTTTAAGGTGCTTTTAACTTAAAAGGTTCCTCAAAATAATTCTCTGCACGTTTGTTCTTTACCAAATGAGTGTACTTCCTGATTGTGTCATCGAGATTTTCGGAATCTGCGTAGAACTTCAGCTTCCATAGAACTGGATATCTTTTTATTATTATTTTTTAAAATATATATATATATATATAATATATTAAAATCGACCCGTATAAATGGGAAATAGTTCCGTACAAATTCGTTATGAACAAAAAATTTCAAGTCTATCTATTACAACAATTAGTTTCACCCACCCACTAAAACCGGCACAATTTCGCTAGTGTGCTTTTAATAAAATTTAGAAATCGATTCATGTTCTCAACCGCCAATGATGACCACAAAGAAGTGACGTTCTTGTTACATCAGATGCCGGGAATCCCTGTATCATTTCCGGAGTAGTTAGATTTTGATAGACTCCTCAAAACTTATAACCATCACTTCCATGATGCACAAAAACAAATGAAGAAGGGAATGGAAGACATACCAAATGAAAACTGCTCCAAGCCCCGCTGTACAACTCCAGACGCGCCAAAACTGTTCGAAGACCAAGAGATCTGAAGGCCAATAAAGCCCATAACGGTAGGCAGAAAGACGGGACGAGTAGACTGCAACACTTGAAACCAGCAGAAGCTTGAGATCTGAAAAAGAACATTGATACAACACTACTTCGTACCGCCAAATGAAGACCAAAGTACTAGAATGTGTTAGATCGTCATTAGGAGTAACCAAAAGCACTAGAAACCCGCAGACCACGCGAACCTACACTGCCTTGCCCAACACCGCCCGAGAACCGGAGGAACGAAAACTCTTGCGGAGAGGAAGCAGAACCGGTGAAAATGGCTTAAACCACAACAAGAAAACGAGAGCTTAATCACCAATAAGCTATTCGGCGAGCTTTTACAGTGAGACAGGAGACAAAGAACAAGAAGAGGAATGAGGAATGGGTGAGGGCTCAAAGCGTCACCTCGGAGAGGCTATAGATGACATCGTTGACACCGCAACATCCCAAACCACTACGGACCACCACCGAAAGCACTAACACGCGCGAACACCACCTGCTAAGAATGTCTTCGAGGTAGACCAACCTCCAGAGCACCCACAGAGATATCTGAAAAGGGTTGTCCTGTCTCGATGCCGAGAATAAGATAATGACCCACGACCACCACCACTCCACCACAAATCGAGAGTAGACAGACCACCGGACCTTCATACAAGATCTGAAACTAGAGTCGCAAATCCCCCTCTTCAAACCGCCAACTCGTAAGCACCAAAGCCACTTGACAGTCCCTAAAAGCCGACTTCTCCAAGACCAAACCAACACCCACCGTGCCACGACTTCAAAAACACCAGCATGCTCATAACATGTCGAACATCCTCCGGAGCCAAATCCGAAGGAGACTTCCGGCGTCAAAATCAACAGAAAAGCGGCAGGATGGGATAGATCCCGGATGAGCAAAGAGAAGAAGAGAGCAAGGAGGAGAAGGGGGCACCAACGCCGGTAACGCACGAGCCGGATGATGCTGGTCCCAAATGAAGATCTACTTTTTGCATCGAGAGAGAAAGGTAGAGGAGATGAAAAGGTCTTTTCATTTTTTTTTCTAACTATCAAATCCAGAACTGGATATCAATTATTGCAGAAGATCCTATGATAAGTTGATGTTCACTGTTGTGATGCATTTGTCCACCTAATGCCGGCTGCTTAATTGGATGATATCCATGATGTCAAAGCAACATACCAAGTTGTCATCATCTTTGAAGCTTTTGGATAGTTAAACTCCATCAGTTTTTTTTTTAAAGATATTTATGTGTGAGAGCATCAATGTCTAAATTAGCTGCTTCCTTCCAAAGATTCAAACAAAGTGGCAAGTATCGCCAAGTTAATAACATGAAGCACCTGGTTGGGTCCTACACTTTCCCGTGACACCGTAAAAGCAAAACACGAACAAACCACGTTATTACAAAAGCAAAGCCACGTTATACCGTCTCACTGTCAACACTCACTACTATACTATTTCATATTGCCTATATTTTTGTTTATATAAACCCACAAGATGCCTCCTTAATTTATTTACCAACAGCAAACATATAAAGCAAAGAGAAAAATATGGAGGAAGACAAAAATAATAACCCTACGAGCACGAACACAAACGTGATCGTTCCTTTCGTTGCGAAGACATATCAGATGGTCAACGATCCTTCGACCGATTGGCTCATCACCTGGGGACCTGCCCACAACAGCTTCATCGTCATTGACCCTCTCGACTTCTCTCAACGCATCCTCCCTGCTTATTTCAAACACAACAACTTCAGCAGCTTCGTTCGCCAACTCAACACCTACGGGTTTAGGAAAGTGGATCCCGACCGGTGGGAGTTCGCGAACGAGCATTTTCTGAGAGGACAGAAGCACCTGCTCATGAACATAGCGCGTAGGAAGCACGCGCGTGGGATGATGTACGGTCAGGATTTGGAGGACGGTGAGATCGTGAAGGAGATCGAACGGTTGAAAGACGAGCAGAGGGAGCTCGAGCTGGAGATTCAGAGGATGAACCAAAGGATCGAGGCGACGGAGAAGAGGCCTGAGCAGATGATGTCGTTTCTTTACAAGGTCGTTGATGATCCTGACCTCCTCCCGAGGATGATGCTCGAGAAAGAGCGGACAAAACAAGTCTCCGACAAGAAGAAGCGTCGTGTCACGGTGAAGTCAGAGGAAGGGGCGGGGGAGGAGGAGGAAGACAACGGGAGAGTGTTTGGTGTGGTTTCACCGTCACCGTCTCCGCCGGAGAATTCGATGGGATGGGTTGTCCCGATGCAGAGGCCGGGGCGGTTTGGTAGTTACAACGAGACGGGTCTGGTGACGAACTCGATGGTTTCCACTTCGTCGAAGTCATCATCGTTAACGTCGACGTTGTCGTTGCCGGAGAGCGTAAACGGAGGAGGTGGGAGTATTCAGGGAGAGACAAGGGACAAAGAAGCGGCGACGTTAGGAGGAGTGGTAGAGTCAAATCCACAAACACCGGCTTATCCGTTTTCTTTATTTCGAGGTGGCTTTTAGACTAGTAGCTTCACATGATACATGATGATCTTTGGTTCTTCTTAACATTGTTATTTGTTGTTATTTTTCTTAAATTATTTGTAATGTATAACCAACCAAAAATAAATAGATAGGACGGATCGATAGTTGTTAGTTTCGTGAGTAGTAGGACAAGGAGACAGTGTCAGTATTCATAGCGTTTTATTACTTTTACAGAAAGTTCACATTATATATTTTTGCAGATTATGTGATGTAAGTCACATATAGTTTAATATTCTCGCTAATGTGTACTCTAGTTTCAGTTAATAAATGGGAAAATTTTAATTTGACCAAAAATTGAAATTATTTTTAAAATTTACTTTTAAATGATAATTATTTTCATAAATATCATAAGATTGTGATGAAAAGAAAACTGAACTAACATTTCTAAATCATTTATAAATGTTTCAGAATAATTTATAGGACTTTTGTAGAAGTTTATAAACTCAATCACATCCCTTATACTAAATCGTAAATAATAATCACAAAACTTTAAACTCAAATGTTAAGATATAAAAAATCACAAAAAATTTAAACTCAAATGTTAAGATATTTTATACTGAGTGTATTTTTTGAAAATTGAGTCAACTTATAGCATGGCAATCAATTTATTTTCTTTATTTGAACAACTGTTTTCTTCGTGTAAATTCTAATTAGTAGATTATCGTCTTTAGTTTTTTGTAATTGTATTATAAACCTTCCTTTTATTTGAGTTATACTCAACAATATGTTAAAGTTCCCACCACTACTCTTTTGTTTTGTCATCGCCCATACTAGCCCCATCACTTACTCATTTGACGAAATATTTTTATTGTGCCAGAAAACTGTTTCCAAAAAAAAAAAAAATATTAAGATTCAATAGCTAAAGGACATGACTAGTTAAGGTTTTTAGTCATGTTTATAAATACAAATTCTATAACACATAGTTTTGCAGAAAATTCAAAATACATTAAGGGATAATTCAAATGGAAAATATTGGCAAGGGGAAATGGGAAAATTAAACAAATTAGAGATGATTATTGAAAGCAGTAGAAACATTGCCTATGTACTTGCGATAGTTGAGGCGACACTAATTAAGAAATCGACGAAGCACTCGCTCAGAATCAAGCCAACACGACGATCCACTTTTACTGTCACCTTAAATGATTTTTTGTTGCAGTCACCTAAAAATGATTTATGGTGATGATGCATTGTAAATTTTTCAGAAAGTGACAGTTAGCCACGTGACTTATTGGTCAGGCCAAAACGTTTCGAACGACACTGGGTTAGAGAGAGTCTAAAAATAACGATTGATTTAAGTAGACCGGCATGGACCACCTGATGTCTCACACATGGACGCGTATCGACACCAGATAAAGTAAAATATTAAAATATGTTATAAGAGGTGCTGGTCCAATAACTATATTGTCGGCTCTACGCTACGCAAACATCAAGTACACTAGCCTTTTTTTTTATGTTCATCAAATGACATTTGATATTGTCGAAAAAAAGATTATTGCCTTAAGAACCCTAAATCGACTCTATAATTAGCACATTATCCACGACATGACTATTACAAAATAATAATCCGAATACCCCTGTTCCTCTCTCCACCTATATTCGTAGACGTGCCAGTCTACACCCATAAATGCTTAACAGCAGGCAACTTGTTTATTAACTAGTAAAGTGAAATTACTTTTCAACCGTTCATAATTTAAATTTTAAAATAAATTCTTCATTTTATCCTAAATTCTTTTATCTGAGAAGACTAAGCCGCTATTAATTTCCACTATTTACTTCCCGAAAAAACTGTAAATCTCAAAAAAAAAGAACCGTCTAATTTCTCTATATAGTTTCGAGTTTGTAATGGAAGATCTCATCTACCGCTGTGTATTTTCGCGTGTGGTGATAAACCACTTGGTGAACAAGTCAACTCGTATCACAGGACTTGAAGAACATAATCACTAATTGAATCTCTAGACGATGAAGAGATTGAGTTTTTAAAAAATTCCCAATTTTCAAAGGTTATCGCTTTAGAAAAAAATCCACCGTTTTCTGGCACTTACGGTCATTTCATTTTGGTCTGGATGCTGAAGACAGAAAAGAAGTACGAGATATGGTTGGTTTTCGCCACGACACCAATTAGAATTTCCCTTAGGGAGTTCGCTATTGTTACAAGTCTTAACTGCCAGAGGATTCCTAATCCGAGGCCGAAAAAAGGAAGAATCCTCTAAACGAGAAACTCTATTGGAGTGAGATGTTTGGTTCCCTTAAATCATGTTATGTGGAAACTGTTATAGACATGCTCAAGACCCGCAAGGGAAGGATAGAAACACCCGAATTAAGTTTGCTTGTTTAGCAATTACGAATTCAGTTATAGTCCCATCTTCACACTCTCCGAAGATTGTTCTCGAAGATGTAGAGCTAATTAAAGAAATTGATGAGTTCTTTGCTTATCCTTGGGGGAGAATCTCGTTCCAACTTCTCATGGCTACCTTACTTAAGAAGGATGCTCTTGCACTCGCTCAAGACTCATTTACACTGAGAGGTTATGTGGAAGCTATACAACTTGTCATGATTGCAGTGCATAAACTAATAGCACGAGAAACAGAGTTAACGAGTAGAGGAGAAGCCTCGTAGCTGTCAGAGTAGGATTACAAATAGTAAGCTATTCTTTCGGCGTGTAAATCTTTTGTGTCAGCCGGCTGACACAAGTGTCATACGTCTACTCGTATTCCATTATGGGCATTTCTAGGCGTAATTGTAAGGTTTGGGTCACTAATATCCATCAATTAGCAACTCGCAAATATGGACTCCGAAATTAGGTATTTCCCTAATAACCTCACAAAAAAAATCAATTTCTGTTATTAAATATTTACTTATTAGATTTTACATAGTTCACTTCAGATGTTAAGAGAGATAATACGCAAAATACAAAACACTAGTACATTCACAATTTTTTTTGTCTTTATGTTCATGTAGTTTTCAACATTTTAAATATATATTATCTATTATGAATTATTTTATTTAGTACAGAAATAGTCAACATATCAATCCATGCCTAAAATTCTCTACTATATTCGAATATTTCAGTTGTTGATGGGTCTAGTGACTCTAGTCCATTATACTATTCGATATGGTCCTTATGGATTGGGTAGCTCCATTTAGTAACCAGACTAGTATTTCGTCCAAATCTAAGACGTCAGATTGAATATAAATGGAAATATATACCCCTGAAAGAAAGAAAGTATTTGAAAATATATTTGAGGAGCCAGGAGGTCATAGTCTCTTAGGAGCTGGCGAATTAAGGACCATACTTTGATGCTACAAATTATTAATTCAACCCATATCAACTTTTACAGTTCACCTAACAAGTGGTTAGCATTTTACCCACGTCCTCTTACGTTATATCTACATAGTTTATGTATTACTTAATTGGTAGATGTTTTATATTAGGAGGAGATGTTGTTCTATTTTGATTGGGTTAAAGATTTTAATTCTTAACCAAACAACCTTTGTCCCTTGAAAGTGCTTTCCTTTTAAAAAGTTATATTTTTAATAATAAAATATATGTTGTGATATTTAGTGCCAATTCATTTGGTTATAGTAAAGTCTTATCAAGTCGATATCAGAGACAGGGGAAACCATAGAAATATGTCGTTGACTGTTTCAAATTAGATCCTCTTCTTTTGCTTTTAGAATAGTTTCCGATAATAAATAAAATAGATAAAATAAAAAGATTATCAACTAGATCCTCTGTTCTAATATTCAGTCGAGTTGCCGATTATGCGGTCACAAAAATCACTATTCAAAAGCTAACTGCAGCATAGAGATGGTAATTGGACTCTCCCATCATGCTTCGTCCTGAACCGCTACGGTTTCATTTTCTAACGGGACGTAGCAGGCCTGTCCCGTACGGAATGACAATTTTGTGGGCCTTCGCGAACCATCCCGCATGGCATGTGATAATACGTGCAGTAGAACGATTCATACCATTCCAAAACGCTTCAGACCATTCTAGGACATAGTTTAAGTCGTTGATTCAACATGACATAATTCATTAATCATTGCTTTCCTTATTTTTTATTCAAAACAATAATTGAATTATTTGTATCACACCCAAAACATATTAACATACCAAATAAAAATAATTACAGAAGATATTTTCATTATCTTATAACTCATAAGTTCATAACCAATGTTTTAGTTTGCTGAATCCAAAATTAAATAAAATAAAACACCAAATCAAAAATGTTAATCCAAAATTAAATAAAAAGAGAAACCAAATCAAAACACTACTAAAGCTCGAAGCGTCATCGCCGGAGCTGTAGTCGTCATCACCGAAGCTCGAATCATTATCACCGAAGCTCCAATCACCATCATCGCCCGAGCTCCTTACGTTTTCTCAGGGAAAGTCAAATGAATATTCTTCTTCTCACTCATTCTCTAATTTTTTCAGGTAAAACAAAAAATAAAGAAAAACATGCGGGTCCTTATAATCTCGCGGGACTTGTTTCGGTCCATTCCGCAAAAGATCTAGTCCCGTAAAAACCCGTCCCGCGAAGCCCAAAACTTTTCGGGCCTAGAAAACCATTGATTCATTGTACCAATATGACGATAAATATAACACATCCCGATATTACATTTCCATTCTATAGAGCTATAATAGAATAGAAAATAAAAACACTAATAGTTATATCAGATAGTATAAGCAAAATGATGTATAGAAAGAACACCAAATGTGGTGAACATGTAGATATACAGAAAACCAATACTAAACATAGTACAATCCTCAGTTATTAATAGAACTAATCAACCCAAGCAAAAGAGAATCATCTAATCCACGGAACACGATATAATGACCAAAACACACTACAAGAAATATGCACATTCTTAGCACACGATAAACGCTATGGTAGGGCTTTTATAGCGAAACTGCTAATGCTATGTCATCGGCAGCCATCATAGATATCCCCTCTACAATAGCATTTTTTAAAAAGCTACCAAATGTGCAGATACGATAGCAATACTTGAATGATGTTATTAACTTAACTATAACACTACTTTCATACTATGATAGGTTATACCGTAAATCTAAAATAATTATAATTAAATATAAAATAATTGACAATTAAACTAAAAGTTATATTCTAATTAAAAATAAATTAAAATTTTATTTATAAATTAAAATTAGTTTACAAATAAATTCTGGTTTACAAAAACAAACCATAAATTAAAACTAAGTCAAACCACCACAATTTCTCCAATTTGGTTTACACTTAACCAAACCTAAAA